AGAGAAATATATATATATATATATATATATATATTTGTTTCCAGGAAGTTGACACAGCATTAAAAAAGTGTTTTGGTGTTAGAAATGCAAAATTATGATAAATTCTGTTATGAAAGGAAAAGAACAAACACTTTGTAAGGTTGACTTGTCTGGAAAAAAAACATATTATGGATATAAGCAGAAGAGGAATAAAGCAGGACCAGGGATAAATGTAGCCCTATGTAATTTAATAAAAGTGATTCCCATTTAAAGGGAAAAAAATCAACAAATTCTATTTTGAGAAGTCCATATGGACACAACGATATGAGGTAGGGTTAAATGTAAGCTGAACAGACATCAAACAGACCCTGGAGATGTTTTCACCTTAACGCAAGGCTCTCAGTGACAATTCATCTTCCTCTCATGCTATTACTCCGCAGCAGGCAACAAACCACAAGCTGATAAATGATATTTTCATATCACATCGGCCTGATCCATTTCCTCTCCATGGACACAATGCATGAGTCCACATACTTATTATTTAGATTTTTTTTCTTGATGTGCCTTTGTTTATTGCATTCTATCAGAAAACAAAACCTAAAACACTTTTTGTAAAAGCTGAAAAAGATCAATCATGTAAGCTGCAGAATTATAAAGATTTATTGTGAAATTAAAAGTTGTTTGTATCTTATAATTTTTCACAATGTTATATTTGTCTGCTGGCAGCACTTTTTTCTTCCAAACAGTGATGGTGTTCTTCATGTAAAACAACCCTACAGGACACCATTGGTTCTATTGGTTTGATTTAAAATGTATACATACAGTTCAATATTACTAATATCAAATATTAGTGTTCTATTGATGATTAAAAGTCATAAAAATGATATTGAAGCACTTAAAACACACACAACAGTTATGACTGGTCACATAGTGGGTCGGGTGGATCACGTATCACCAGCAGGCAGAAATAGGTTTTAATTTAGGCTTTAGATATTTTAGAATTTAGATTTAGGATAATACACCAAAGTCAGAACAAATTAATTTCTAGTAGTTGATGTTATTTCTCCCTAGCGTGCTAGAAATGCATCAAATTAAATCTTAACAATGTGAACGAAAAGTCACGGGCTTGCCTATTCAAAATTACATTATGATGAAAAAGTAGGTGAAGGATCCATATCCAGGACAAGGACAGACACATGTAATAGATACAAGAATAACTTTTAATATTCCACAACAAAACCAAGGACATCCCAATCACAGCGTTAATAAACTGATCTAAAGGGATGACTAGACGGGGACGAAAATCACAACAATGATAAATAACAAAGTAAACCAGGCTGAATACATTGAGGAAATCTAAAGGTGAATGAGCAACAACTGAGTGTTAGATAGCAAACTGATACAAAAGTGACGGGAATATGCAGAATACAGAATAATGGAAACGGCCAAACACATTAAAAATGTTTTATTACAAAATTGCATTAACTGAATAAATGGTCATACACATATAGGATAGGCTGACAAACAGTGAAAATAAATTAAATTTACTCTTTGTGACGTCCTAATCCAGGTAGAAAAAAATCAAAAAGAAAAAAAAAATTAGCAGGTCCTCTGGATGGGTTCTTCTTTAGTGAAACGTTTCGTCTCTCCTCCAAGAGACTTCTTCAGTCTGATGAGTTTCAGGTGAACTCAGCCTTATAAGCACTGCCTCCACATGGACAAATAGGTTAGTCACATGCAAAAGAGGGCCATCGCCTAACAATAGGCTTGATTAGCTCTATTGTTCATAGAGGGTCATGTGCCCCATCACCTAACTTATTGGTTTGGATGCTGTGGTTCTTAGGTGTCGTGTCATGTGTATGTAGTGAATGCAGGCGGGGCTCAAAGTCCCCTTGTTTTTGTCTCCCTTTCCCTCTGACAGTTTTTCTTCACAAAGATGGCTTCCTTTACTCTTCTCTCAAACCAACATTCCTCTCTATCAAGGACTGAAGAATCAGACAGAAAGTCTGTCTGAGTCTAAGAATCTATCAGACTGAGGAAGTCTCTTGGATGAGAGACGAAACATTTCACTAAAGGAGAACCCATCCAGAAGACCTACTTATTTTTTTTCTTTTTGAATACTCCTTGTGAATCTCACCATGGTGCATAAAGAAGACCTGAGTGAAACTGTTCTTCCTAAGTATTGTCCGTATAGATTAAAATAAAAATCCCATTTTTATTTTATTTTGCAATGGACTATTGACTGTGTTCAACTTTTGTGTTAAACTTTGTGTGATTGAAAAACTTCTGATGACACCACTACACTCATGGTTTAGGTTTATGTATAATGGCTATTATTATCTATATTATTATAGTTCTAGCATTTTTTGATTAAAAAAATACTGCTGTTGTGATTGCCTTTTTGTTTTTTGTCTACCTATTAAATTTAACACAGTTACTTTTCTTTGTTTTTTCCTATCTCAGAAAAATAATTGGTCTTTCATTTATTCTCTATCTGAAAACTGGCAAGTTATTTTGTATATTTTCTTCAAAACCCTGATTTTTATCATAGTTAAAGTAAAAAAAAACATTATATATATATATATATACACACACACACACACACACACACACAATGTATATGTATGAATGTATGTATGTATGTATGTATGTATGTATGTGTGTGTGTAATTACAATATGTTTTATAAATATCTTGTTTTAAGATGACTTTATTTGCCATTCTGCACATATAGCCTGTTCTGGGACTGAGCAACTGACTTTAAGCCTTAAGGGCTACAGTCTTACCTTTAGAAATAAAAATGGCTTCTCAGTGCTGATGCTGCAACACAGCCACACAACAGGCTTAGTCATACCCACAGCTCAAGGAGGCTGTTTAGGATAATATGGCTTACTTTGTAATTATAAAATGCTGTGGTGTTATTTCAAGGTAAATGACACGCTTCTTTGATGCACTGCAAAAAAAAGTCTTTGAGAAATGTAGAAGCATCAAGAATTATTGCACGTGTTCCCACAAAAAATATTTAAAATTCTTGCCATGTTGTGCATTTGCTACAGTACAAGTGTGTTTATTGGTGCAGACATACACATGAGCAAACAATTACAATATATTATAATGTGGTGGTAAAGTAAGTTGTGTGTTTGTTCTTAAGAAAAAAAAATTAAACTGAAACATTCAGACTTACGTTCATTAATGTGTAAATAATGCCACATTGTTTTTTATGATTGCAATGAATCACTGTGTTTACTACTACATTTTCTCTTAAGATTAGCAGGAATTATTTTAGGAGAAATCAGGCAGAGGGTAAATTGTTCTCCCCCTTTTGACATTGTTAGGATTCTGATTTCACACTTTTTTCACCTCTTAAATATTGCTGAACATAATGTTTGTCAACATCCAATTCCACCTGTCAAATTTGATATCATGTTAGCCAAACAACACAAGTTTACCATTTTGCATATTTTTTTTTATTTCAGTTCCCATTTATAAGCTCCAATATTTTACAAAACAGTTTTTGAACTTGATTTATTATTTGGTCTCAATGTGATTACCTTATTGTTTAATTGTTCATACATAAATAACTGAGAAGAAACACTTTCTGGATGATTTAAAAATAAATCAACAAAGAGAAATATATATATATATATATATATTAAAAGGTTTACCCCTTTTTCTGTAAATGTGCCTACTTTTTAATCAGCTTAGTATGCTTGGGCATGACCAGCGCCCAGTGCTGGAAAAACAAAAAGCTAAATTCTGCCTAATTAATCAGCTGACTAATCAACTGGTCGATTTTTACTTTACACGTACACACTGAAAATGCACATCAGACTCACAACAAGAACATGATGCAGACTCTTAAATAAAACATTTAAAAAAAGATTTGACCTCTTACCTTTGACATCCCATAAAGTGAAGTGACGACTGCTGGCGGCATCTGGAGCTAAAGTGAAGAGGAATCGATGCCCGGACTGTGGTTCATCTTTATCCACCACACTGATGGTGTGAATAAGCTAAGAACAGAGTAACGTACCAGGAAAGAAAGAAAGGGGAACACAAAAGAAAGGTTAGATTTCTGCTCAACAGGAATAAGAAAATGAATTTAAATTACTTTGCATTTCAAATGCCTTTTTCACCACAGGAGGAGAAAGGTGGAGCAAGATGCAACAGTCTGAAAAGACTTAGTTCAAAGGGGTGACACTCTCAAAGAGATTAATAT